ATAAATATAAGTGACACTGTATAAATCGAAGATATAAATATAAATGTAGTGCAGGGTGTACCAGATCTTAACGAAACAGAGTTATTGATAGTTAATTATTTTAAATTAATCAAAATTGCGGGCTTTTGTTTCTGTATGCTTTTTTGCTTTTGGGTTTTGTATAAAGTTCTATTAAATTTTCTTCATAATTAATTTAAAAAAAAATAGCACTTGTTCCTTTGTTTTCATAATGTTTATTAATTTCAATTTTAATTTTCGAAAAACCAGGACAAACCGGGACGAAAGATCTAAATTCGGGACAAATATTGCTTTTAGAAAATGCAATATTTGCTTTTTCCCGCAGCAGTCCCGGGAAGATCAAATAACACAAATTATAGGGAAGGTTTCACCCACTATAAGGCGACTATAATTTATTTATGTAATACATTTTTTTGTTTTATCATTCGAAATCAATTTAAATTTTAGTTTCAAATACATGTCTGAAATGTGGTTTACATTGTAATATAAAATGTACCATGGTATTATTTCTGTACCATGTAGATAGTATGTATCGCTTTTGAGCAACCGGAGCAGTATAGAAATATGAGTGACATTTATTGATGAACGAACGGCGCTGTTCATATTCCGCGATCGAAATAAATGGCTCAAAAGTGCACACAAAGGCACTTTTAAAAACCGAACAGTAACATGTCATGTCAGTTGTTTATTATTTGTTCGATAATTTTGCCTTTCGCGTATAATTTTCATGGTTTCGACGCTTTTGAAACGATTTCGATCGCTATTGGTAGATTGATGCATTTTTTCATTTGATATTAAACGTTGGCATGGGAATTGTTACAATAGTTTCCCGAGATTAACTGAAGATTTGCAAATGCAAGTTTTGAAAGTTTTATTAATCATCGTGTTCATGTTGAAATGTTCAAAATAAAATAGTATACGAGCAATTTAGAAATGGCAGAATGAAACAATGCTTGCTGGCAATTTTGACAGACGGATACAGCTGTCAGATACACATGTGCTAATTTATGCACGTCATGTTGCATATGATATTTTGAAAGGATATATATATATATATATATATATATATATATATAAGGGCGTTTCATGGTATGATCGAACCCCGTTCTGGACAACCTAATATCGTGCAGTAGTTGTTTGTACGAATCAAGAGGAATTTCATAGTTGATAACATTTTATCTGGTGCATTACTTGAATAGAGTAATGCAGTGTCACTTTCAATCCAAGAAATAAATTTATGTTTTATAAATTCAATCCCAAGACTTGTAAGTAAAAATAATTTTTAACAACAAGTAATTGCAATAGAGGTTTATCAAAATTATTGCTCAGACAACTTGCGAGAAAGGTTGGATCAAACATGAGGAAACTTTCCATGGATTGGATTGATTTATCTTACAATTATTCAGGCTTTACAATATTGAATCATTCTTTTTTATAATTATTTTTTTTATAATTAAAATGTGGGATTCCTGCTTCTGTTTCCTTTATATTCATTTATCTAATTTATATTTATCAAAAGTTGTTTCCATGTTTGTACTACAAAATTACTACACCATTACTTCTATTATGTGTCTACATTCTCAATTATAGAGTAATTTACGCGTAAATTGGAGCCCATAGAATTACAGACAACTTATTACAGCAGACCACATATTTTAATCAAGGACAGTTGTTTCGACTACATAATTTAGTGGGCTATCAAATGTCACAATTATAATAGATACATGCATATATATAAATATATATATATATATATATATATATTTATATATATATAGATAAATATATATATTATAGATAGAATTATGTCTATCAATTACTCGTCGGATTGGAAAATGAACGACGCATGCATTAATAACCAATTACTGAAATTTTAACCATGAAATGTTGTCATGTTTGAACAATTGGCGTTTGATAAATTTTTTGGCGAAATCCGTACAAATTATCATATGACATGGGTTTTTCATTCTCTTTGATGTTGATTGATGTATTTTATTGCAAAATGTACCATGATAATTATTAACTATTGTCAATTTGTGAAAAAAGTATTTTTGAAATATAATCGTCGGTTTTTCTTTTTTTGAACAGCAATTTCCTCGATGCTTCTATAATACGTTAATTAGTTACCTTTAAAAATAGAATTCAACAGATATTTTTTTTCTATTTTTCTCTGAAACTTTAGCTGCAGTTCTATATATAGTTCTGATTCCATCCTACGAATTTTATATAAAATTACCAACACGGAGTATTTCGAGTTATAAATGAACGCAACATTGAACACATCATCCTCGCGTGGTTTTTAGATTTTTTTGTATTTTTTTCAGAACGGTGGAGCTACAAAAAATACATAATGCCTCTATTATATATTAATTAGGACATGCATCATGTAACTGCGCTGCCGTTTCAGTGCTACGCGTAGCTCCACCGTGTTACCCAAAATATACATATAGAAATAGGGCTGCGGAAAATGGTCGATTCAAACCACAAATATCTTTTTATAAGACCAAATTCTGCAAAATGTGGGTAGTAGAATTCACATATACATGAGTGGTCTAATAATATCTTGTGAGACAGATGCTGCTTTTTTTATTTTTTTTGCAGAAGTCTCAAGCGTTTGAAGCGGAACTAAAGCTTGATTCCATTGAATTGTTGACATTAGCTGTCTTTTTGGATTTATTTCTAAAAATAATTATGGTAAAATTTCAACATTAAATCTTCTACGTGAATGTCTACATGATTGCAAATTGTTACCTATTTATCATATAGGATACGATTATTCGATTTTCTCTGTTCCCAAAAATTCTAATTTCAGATAAATCTAGATTAAAGCCCGGTGCACACGACGACAGTATTTTTTGTAACCTTTTCTTGTGTATTTAAACATAAAATATGACTCGGACATTTTATTATTATTTTATCTAATTCTTATAAATATGAGATAACATAATCACGTGAATTTATTATAATTATGTTTTATGTTTACATTCAAATAAAATAGTTTCTTTGTACTTGAAAATTAGTTATGCTTTTGGAATTAGATCTAGAAAGTGTTCTAATTTTGGTTTTCATATCTGGTTTCTTTTCTCCTGGTTTCCCAGCCCTATCCCATAGACTCTGCACAATTACCTGGTGTATTGCTCGTGAAATTTCCGCGGCAAAACGGAAACTAGGAATGTGCATTATCCGAAAACCACGAAGTACATCACGGACTGCTGTCAAGTAGAGTGCGAGCATCACGTGGCTTTTCTAAAAGGATTTATGAATAAATGAGTCTGAAGACGAATGTCTAAATGTTTGTGGAAATATCACTCTGACGTTAATGAGACACTTGTGCGACTTTTATTAAAGATTTTATGTAAAGAGGAATGGATTTAACTGAGGTTGAATTATCACCTTTTGTAAACTACTAGATGTATCGTTTTAATACTTCAAACATTTATAACTTATACTCATTTAATGGTTTAATTTTTTAAATTTTGAAATATTACATTTTGTTTAATAATGCGTTGACAATTTCCAAATCCATTCCCACGGAATCAAAACTCTGCTTAACTTCAATACTGAATCATCGTCCTACCATCTGTGACTGAATTTGCAATTTCTCTGAAGTTTTCTGCAGTTCTGGATATTTCGGGCAGATGCATTCGAGATATCTGGAAATGACAATAGCTGATTTAGTTCGGTCCACCAGATGGGATTTTCGAAGAAGTTCGAAAGCAATTAGTGCGGATGATCTTGATGGTTTAATTAAACGTTTCTTGCGGCTTCCGCAAACTAGGATTGGTTTTGGGATAGATGTTAGAAGTTAGCGAGTACTTAAATAACAAGGGTTAACTACCTGATGTTGTTCTATCTGATATCGACTCCTAATTGGCCATGTTCGTCATTTAGCACACCGTATACCCTTCGACATGCTAAGATTATAATGAACACACCAGGTAAGTTATTCATTATATAGAACATGGAAATAATTTATTTACATATTGTACATATTATACATATACATATACCTGCAGCATTTATGTACGTTCCTGATAGGATTAATTTATGCCCGGTTTGAATCGTTAATTTTATACCGGTGCTATCATTAGTGATTAACATGAAATTAACATTAGCATGTCATACCGATGCATAAATATCGTAAATTTTACCATCGAATAGGTAAATAGATAATGGAAAGCGTTATCGATTTTATGTATAATGTACATAATAACCGGGATTTGCCATGAAGTATTCATTTGCATAAGCTAACTGGTTTTAAGGAAAACCGCGCTGCAATATCCTTTATCGAATACGTTGCACAAGAACAAAATTTAATATATTTTCTTGGATAATCTGATTCTTTGCTTACTAATTTTGTTTGCAATAATATTACTTTTATCTTTACAAAGAAGAAAGGAGAATTTCTATCAATGTAATTTTTTGCAATTTAAGTTGAACAGCAATTTCAAAAATTGTGATCCTAATCAGCCAGGCGTTTCATGTAAAAAAATAGATTAACATTTGCCACATCTATTTTCATATAATTCTCTAGTAACACAATATTCAAATTATATTCCCCGAATGCCTTTTATAAATTAATCCTACCCTACCAATTACAGTGGTTAAATTTTAATTATCAATAGTGATGCTTTTGGTTTATATGTGGTTTTATGCTCATGCTGGCAGTCATTTTATTTAACCATAATAATTTATGTTTGTTGTTAGCTATTCGTAGAATTGCCAATGAATTTTGATAATTTAATTGATGAGAATATGTTTGGATAATCCTCATGAAAAGGATTCAAAACGTAATTACATTTATTTCTATTTGGTATGTCAAACATCTATTATCACGTGAATAATGAAAAAAAATCTTATGCATTCTCAAAATGTTTTTTTAACATTTTTCCCAATGTTTGTATGTTTTTCCCTTGTCCATATAAATATGATGGTATCATTGTCTGTATTATTGCTAAGATGTTATTTTCCGTTATCCTCAGGAAGTACAAATCCTCCGAGCTCTCGTCCTCGGCGAGGAGGAAAGAGGCCAAAGCCAATACCAAGTGCTTTGTTTCGTGACGAGACTGCATCAGACCGATTTTATATCGGCGGACGCCATGAGCAAACTCAGACAGGTAAATTGAATCACGTTTAATGTTCAACAATACCTTAAATACTTAAAACCTTAAAACATGGGTTTCTCTGGGTGTTACGGGCACGATTGTAATTGGTAACTGAAATAGCCATTGTTTTAAGAGTACACAACATACAAAACTTACTTAATATTTTATAATTTGTAGGATTTTTTTTAAATTAGACTTTTGTTTTTATAATTTACTGTAAAGTTTTAAAATTTCAATCATTTATCATTTTAATTATTATTCTTAATATATTAACAATTACTTGATTTTGTTATACCCTAAAAAGTGTTTGGACAATTAGAACTTCTGATTTAGAAGGGTTTATCAAATATTTGCTAGAGATAAGAATAATATTCTACTGATTTGGATGTTTTGATTACTGTGGGTGATAGATAATTAGATAGCTTTTCATAAATGGGGAGTGATGTGGATGACATATAATTAGATGACTTGTCATAATATATTAATAAGAAGATCACACGGTTTATTGTAAAATATATGTTTTGATAATCTAAAATATTATTAGTAAAAATATAATCAGCAATATTTATTGCTAAATTACTATTTGATAATAAAATTAATGTGCAGTAATACTGTCCGAACCATGTGTTGTTCTCATCACAGTATTATCATAATTCAAATACGTTTTAATTAATCAATAATGAATATTATTTATTAGATATATAATTAATATAATATAATTGTACGTATATATAATTATTAATCATGGAATAATTTCATGTAATTAATTCTCTATTCTTTTTGTTATGAATATAAATTGATTGCACTTCATACAGTATTATTTACGTGACATTCTTGTAGGGTAAGTTAATAGTAATCGCACAAAATCGAAAACGAAAGTTTTTGCCTGTCTTTATGTTTCAACATTGGATTCTGACTAGTCGTCTATTGAACTGCATTCTTCTTGCATTCTTATTCCACTTGAGATGAACTTGTAAATTATAGACAAAAAATTACGTAAAAAGATTTGCAAGCTCTCTTGATTTATTTTCTCCTTATATTTAATTCCATAAATTATTTTCGTATGCTTCGTGGCTTTGTCTACTGTTTCAATCCGGCTCAAAGATATGTACGCAATCAGAATGTAGCGGTAAACGGAAGCTTGATTCGAAAAAAACGTAATAAATATCAACGGAGAGTTCCGGAACCGCAAACCGGAAACAAAAGCAGCAACGGCTGAGCTTTTGCCGCTGCCGCTGAGCTTATGAAAGAATCAAAGTTCGGCCTGGACGACGCGAATACCCGCTAGAACATAAACTACACCGCCGAGACGTATGAAATGTAATTTTATATATTTGAGAACTAACACAAGTGGATTTCCAGTGGGAAATCATGAGGCTGAAGAATCAATATATTCATATTTTTTTCTCCAAACTTTTGCAACTGCTTATTAGTTTCGGTTTCTTGACATAAAGTTGTCGAAAAAAGAAAATTGTTTAGTTTGAAGAAGGTTATTGAATGAATGAAGAAGATGAGGAAATGTTTATACATTTGTGCTACATTTTGTCACAATAATCATATATCTGTTCATAATATTTTAGAAAGACTTCTTAAAAAAATTAATTTGTATTTTAAGCTTCAAAACCGTTGATGTTAATATACAATGACAATAACACGCATTCCATTTTATTACACGCAATCTAATTACAGTGTAACTTCCTTACCCAATTGAAAAATTAATCGACTTCTCGTTTTGAGCCATAAAAGCCGTATTATATCAGAATAAAAAGCTAAATAAAAATTCTATTACCTTGACAAAACATTGTATTCAGTATTTTATCGCCGTTTCCTCTCGAGTTTTCTCTGCGGAACGTCGAAATGCGCGCCGTAAACTTTTTTTGTTGCATTATTACGTGGCACATACATGAAAATGTTCATAGAAATAAGCATATACGTACGAGAGGCAGCATCCCGATGCAAAATATTTAATATGAAACTTCCAGCATTGTTGCGAAAAGCAGAAGAGTCGGCAGTCGGCCACAATAATATATCCCTCGACTTACAAAGGTAATTTACGAATTCACGAGGATTCTAATTACAAAACAATGTACACACGACGACTGGGAAATGATTCAACATTGTTTCATTTCATTCCGGCACAGACAACATTTTCGAATAGTTAGTATTAAAAAAAATATTTGTTCCGAAATTATCTACGTTTACATAATTATTTTCTGCGCTTTCTAGATATGTAATTGATTTGATAAGAAGATAACAAGTTTGATATATTTGATGCAATCAATTAATCATATATTTGAAAGTTTTAGTCATTTTGATCTATAAGTATTATTATTGCTGAATTAATACAATGTCCATATTTTATTAAAAGATTTTTTCCGGTTGCTTTCTCTAAAGTTTGGGGGCCTTTAGCCCCGGAATGCTGCTGTAAATGTATTGAGGTTCGTGTTGCAATTCATATAACACTGGGGACATAATGTGACCACGAAATCCTGGAATTCGATGTCATTAAACCTTCCGGTTTATGTACGCATAATGTAAAAACAGACGAGCTTTAGTGAAGTTCGTTCGTTCGCAAATGGAGCTTAACACCCACCGAGGGAAAAAATGGGTTTTCTGATGTGTATACCTATATAGAGGATATAAAGGGATTATAATTTGTATGTTTGGATTTTCAATTATTTAGAAATAATTTGTGTGTTGGAAATAATTGCACACGTAATAAATGGCAATTTATTTTTTCTATAGTTTGATAAATATTTTGTACCTGGAATTATACCAGATTCATCTTTAGATTTGTGTAATTTTGATTTAGATAAGGATAGCTTTTCTTACGGACAACTGTATGTTGCCTGTCCCTGAGCCAAGCTGATATTGCATAATCAAACTTTTATGAAATTTATTCTTTACTTTGTTTCTCATCTCTCAACCTTCTAATCACAATGTGCTACATCAAAACTACTTGGCATGGTACAGCTAATTCTAAGTAAAATAAAATTCTAAATTTCTATTACATACAAATACCGTTGTATATTTCCGTAGCAATGTTTTAAGATCGCGATGCACGCGGTTGTCGTCGTCCGGACGTTTCGTGTCTGGTGCCTGGTGCCTGGTGCCTTCGCTTCTGCTGCGCTTTCAGGTTTACTTTTCCCGAGCACGGTTCGATTCACACGTGACAATCCTTTATTCTCTTTTCCGCCATAAATGTACACACTCGTAAAGGAACAGTCGGTGACATGTTTATTCAACGTTCCTGAACAAAATTTTTCGAACTTGAGATAGTGCATATGAAAATACTTTGTTTTTAAAGTTTCGAGGGGGTATTCAAGTTTATATATATGATTCTTCGGCATCCAGTTGCACATTGGTATGTAAAGCCTCATATATGTAGTAATGGAAAGTTTTGGGACAAATTGATTTGTGGAATTTAATTAATTGGATGTATTGTATAAGTAATTGCATATCTATGTATATTCATTCGTGTGTTTGTGTATATGTGTATAGTGCGGAATTAGGCAAATGTGTTTTATAAAGTTTTATAGAGTAATCGAGGTCAAAATGAGTAAAACTCTAAATATAATCGTCTATAAACACCTTTTTATCAGGATATTTCATTCATTTATCGCCATAATAGCTTTACTAATATTGTCTCCAAAAGTGTGAATTTCTGTTGTTCCTGAATAAAATTTCTCTATATTTCTCACTAGCCCTTCGACCACAGTATCCTCGATGAGCGTCCTACATCGGATTTCTATTTCATTTATTCGATAGCATTGTACATTTGATACATTTTTGTTGTCGTTTTTCACCTGGTTCCTTTGTCATGTTACTACGTCCTTCGTGTCACCGCGGGATACAAGGATGAGTATTTGTTTCCAGGGATGAATTTTTATTCTTCAGATTCTGTGGAAAAATCTTACAAAGTATGAAAATGTTACACATGATGCGGGCAAAAGCAACAGCTGTCAGAATGACATTTCGTGTCATGTGGGGTTTATTTCTGCATGGTAGTATATTTTCTTGGAAAATGGGAAAAAATTATATGATCTAAAACATTTTTTTGGCATTAACGAAATCAATTTCAATTTTAGAGATTTGCTATTACTAAAATATAATATTACTTACAAGTTTTTGATAATTACCATTTTCAAATAATTCAAGCATACTGTTCATGAATTTTGATAAGTAGGTTCACTGCCATTTACCAAATTTTACATAATATCCCTAACATCAGCGTATGTTTCCTTTATCGTGTGTTTTGATAGATTACTTAATTCCGAATCCAATTTATCTTTGTAGAAAAATCCGGGAACAGTCCGGACGCCGGAGGAGGACCGGGGCCGAGACAACTATACCCTGAGCGCGTGGCTGGATCCCGTACGTGCAGGACATCGAGCCAGTCCGCACGTGGCCGTGCTCTGCGGCGAAGCAAGGGACGCCACGTACGCCAGGGAGGACGACCTGAGATATTGGGCCGAGAGGGCCGGCGAAGGTAGGATACTTGTGATTCACTTAAGCATGATAAATAAAATAATCCGGGGAATCAGCGTTTGTCAAATACGTAATGATAATATATTTTTTTTTATTCGACTTATTTTGCAGTCTTACAATTTAAAAAAAGGGTAACATTAGAATTTGATATTAATATATGTTCTAGTAGAGCATCTATTAAGGGTATAATATAAAACAAAGTTAAAAAACTCGGTTGACCTTCCGAGTACTAAAAGTACACGTGATACTAAGTGGTGATGGACAGGTAATTTAAAATATCACCACTTAAATCCTTAAAAATCTATCACGAAATTATTAGGCGCCCCCCTTCAGTAGTCTACTTCTATTGAAAGTGTAAAATATTATGTTCAGACTTCCGCGAGAAAAAAGTGCTTTGAATTACACGTAGGAAAAAAATCTCAGAATATTTCTATTGCTTTTCGTATCCAATTCCAATAAATTTTATCACCGCCGACTTATCGCCATGATTTGTAACTACCCACTGTTTTTTTATTTTTTATTACTCTGTATTTTCTATATGTATGAAATATCAGCGACTTTCCGATGGCGTGTTGGTAACTATTCACCCACCCAATGGTTCTGGTTCTGATACCAATACGAAGGCATTAAGCCCTCACATGTACCTACAGATACGTCAGCGTTATCTCAATTTACATTTCTGCGCGAACGGCGCAAAGCGGATTTTCAGCAGTAAATTAAATGGTGGATAGAAAATCAAATTCGGAAGCTGTATCGTCCCGAGGCAAACATTACTCTGATTCAATGTTGCCAGATGGAAAAGTCATAATTGTGCGCAGCTTTATTTAATACGGACTACTACTGCCGTACTCTGATGTAGTGGAGTCGAGTTAGTTTTATTTTTAATTAAGCCATCGCGCGGTGGTATATTGCGTTCTGTAGAAAAAACAACTATGATCATTCAAGCTGACGATTTAATTAATGCCTTGAGAACGCAATAATAATGTTTGTTCTCTGAGTTTTAATGAGCGAAAATGAGTGGAGGAACTCATATACAACGATATGGGAGGATTTATTAAAATTATAACGAGCATAATATATACACAGTTCCAGAATTCAATAAGGATGTTAGTATTGACCGTAACTGCCCTGGAAAAATGCAAACAAAATCATCTCACGTTGTTTGAAAGCTATGAGCTTTTAAGTGCAACCTGCATTTATTTTTAACTTTGTGCTTTTCCTCATTCGAAGAAGAACTACTGATATATGCTAGATATGTTTTTATTTAGGCATAAAATCGATCGGATATAGTTTATTTATCTCTATTGATTAATTCTATTGCGAACAAATTCTCTGCTTTGAAATCTATTAATAAATCATAATTGATTCGAAAACTAAACTGGGTTATTTATAGGCCAGTTACATATCGATAGCTCGTATCTGCGTTCTACTTTAAATTAAATCGTTTTGTGAATAATAAATATGTATCGAACGATTGAATTCAATTCCATATAAAATTAAATCCAATTCCTGATTAAATTTATTCGTGCATTGTGCAAAATATTATTATATTCTTACCGTCTTCAGTTTGTGTATATATTCAATTTCAGATTTTCTCGGAGTCCATGAAGGACATATGGTGATAAGTTGAATTGTCATAATTCATAATTTATATATAAATGAATCTATTTACATTCAAATGATTTTTTAACATGCATTATTGTAGTAAATCGCCATTAGCATACGGGATTTTGCATGCTCATTTTTGTTGTTTTAGTATTTTAAAATAAATTCCTTAATATTCAAAATACATACAGCATAATCAAATATACATTCATTATCAATAAAAATTTCATTTAATTTATTTTATAGATTATCATAGAGAGATCATAATATGATATATAATAATGCAATATGAGATAGAAAGTATATAATATCACCAGGTAAATCCGTCGATAATGAAAATTTCATTCAAGAAACTTTTCATTCTGCTGTTTGCTGAAGGATTTTCAGAGCGTAGAATCTAGATATGATGTTAATCTTCCAATTAATTTTCATTTAAATATTAGGTTTTTAATAAGAATCTTGTTATAATAAAATCGTTGAATTATTCACTAAAACTAATTATAATTCCAATGTCTTTAATCATTAAGACCTATTTAATTACTCGTCAGAGTTTCTTCTGTTAAAAAACAGCCTGAAGGAAAAAACGCACTCACCGCCAGACAAATAAGAGGATAAACGTAAAGTCGAAGTATAAAACAAACTTTTTTGCTTTGCATAAAAGAACGTATTGGAAGATCGGCCACGGATAATCTCTATAATTAATGGGAGTTTTTAATTATACTCCAGATCTTCATTGGCCTCACGCAGGAAGACTTTTCTTTTAATATAATGGACTTTATAACTGATGCTATCTGCCTTCTTTTGGAGCGAATTTATATTTTTTGCCTCGAAATGAAATGTGAGGTTTCTCAGTTTTTTCTCGGTAAATCCGAAGTTTTTTCTCGGCAGTTTGCTTGTAGCTTTGTTTTTTTATTCTACCCGAACATTTCGTAATGGATTAGAAGGTATACGCACAATACTGTAATCGAATATATGTGGATTCTGTTTATTTGTAGAGATAATCTGCAGAATATGTAACTATCCACATCTATTCTCAACTTTTTTATGTCAGATAATTTGAGAAGGTTAAGTGCAATAGATTGCCATTGAGTTAAATGAGTATCATAAAAATTAAATAAACCAATTTCTTAATTTATTAAAAATGAAGTCTAATTTCTCTACATGCTGTTGGGATGAAGTGGCTTTTTTCTACAAAAAAGGTCCATCGTTTGCTGAACACGTTTTTTTATGAATGTATAATGAATTTTCTCGTAGCTACCAGCAAGTACACTTTGAAACTCCTTTTCCTGCCACGATCAATTTTCCATTAAATAAACCTGCATAGATTTGTCAATTTTGTTAAATTTTGTTCTTGCAGTTGCAAATTTGCTGTGAGTTATTAGCAATATATTTGTTAAACTTTCAAAAAAAAATCTAGTGTATTCCATTTTCAGTTTTTTTATGTGTAATGTCTAATTGCACTAGTATTAATTTTTTATTAACCCGTATAACTACAGAAATGTTCAATAAGGTTATATAACTACGTGCTAAACGTAATTTCCTGACTAGTGGAATTCCTGATATCAGGATCAATATGGTTCGAAGATAACGAAGCATTTAATAGGATTCCTCCATCTGCTGCTAAATTCTCTAAATTCTTATTAGACGGATGGTGCAATGCATTGATCAAGGTTATCGATTTGTAGTTGTTTTGGCGATAAACTATTAAATGAAATGAATGGATGAAAATTGTAGTGTGATAAGGTTTTGAAAATAGTCATAAAATCTCGCTAGTGAAATAGTTTACATTCTTAATATTTGTATTATTAATCAGGAATTACGATCTTTTATAGTATTTTTATTATAATAGGTTCTTTTAAAAAATGGGAAAAATAATTTAAAAATTTCATGCTTATTTGAATTTCCAGGCCCTTTGAAAACAAATCCCTTCCGCAACACCTTGCCGCTATTTGATAAACATGATAAACACCCTCAAACTGATTTGCATGTTTGGGTCAAACTCTTTCAATATTACTAGATCACGCTCTTCTGTTTTCAATAAACCATTTTAGCATTTTAGCATTTTAATTACAGCCGGATTCTATTTTAATCTTGGCCGTATTTTATAAAGCTTAACGCTCGGCTCCACGGGTATTCCGCAGCAATCGTGTTGTAAAATACAAAGCGGCGTCACTACGCTTTTTCATGCAAAAAACTTTGGGAAAATCTGTATTCATTATCGGGAAATCATCGGAGAGTGTCACGGCAAACTTGTGAAAACAAAAAAGGAAAACAGAAAGGAAATATGGTAATCGATGAGGCCAATATCGATATTAATTATGACAAAACTTTGTGACAGCCAGCGAGTTTTTATAGGAATATTTGATATAATGAATTATAATAGGGCTGCGTGACAAATTGGAATTTCTAATAATAGGTCTTTTGTAAATAAATTAATGATTCATTAACTATTTCAAATAACGTTATATTATATATACATATATATAATATATATATATATATATATATATATGTGTGTGTGTGTGTGTGTGTTTATCAGAATTGTAATTTATTATATGCAAAAAATCATTTCGACTAGTATCATTTCAATGTCAAATTTAAATAGCCTGCCATGATATTAAGATTCTCCGTCCTTCGTTTGCCCATGATAAGAGTTGTTTCGTAGGATTTGGCACTAATGGAATGCTATAATACATTACCCAGTAATCAAAGTTTGTAAGGGTTTGGCTTTCGCCCCGACTTGATGGATGACATTACACCTGTCTCGAAATCAGATGATTCGGCGAGCTTAATGCATAGGCTATTATGTATAATATATACACATGTATATATACAAACATCACCACTATATCTTTATAAATTTGAGATAACCATAAAATATTTGATAGATGCTATTTCCAATGTGTGAACTGTCGGCATTGTAAGTTGTTATTGTATATGATCTCATTTTTCATATTTATTAAAAATTTTATATACATATTAAATATTAATACTTTTTATTATATCTTACATAATATTGACATTAATAATATATGATTGAAGTTTAACAATTTATAAATTATTATAACTTGTAATGATAGCCAATTTTTATAATCAATACAACTTTTATAAATTATCATTATACTTAAGTATATTCAGAAGACCATAAATTCGATTAGCATAAAAATCATTGCATTTATTAGAAATCAAATGTAGAGTTTAAACTCTCCATTTTTATTGTAAAGATTTAATAGGTCAATTTAGCTCTTTATTAAATTATCCTTCTGCTTGAATTACTCTAACTGCTTCAATATAACTAGCGTTGGGATTTTTTCCTCTCCTTTGTGAACTTTTTACTTACTTTTTCCGTAGAGTAGTATTTTTTGCATTTTTTCTATCCGGTAGTCTCAACAGTAA